ATCCTACAAAAACAGTTCCAGTATCCATTTAGTACTCAGGTCAAGATTGTCATTGCAACTTGTATATTACATGACTTTATTAGGATGACAAGAAGGGTTGTTACCAATGAGAAGTTAATGTTTGAGAGAGGAGCATTTCGAAATGCTCATCAGAGGCATGGAGAAATGATAAATAGTTGACTTATGAATGATCCCGATACTGCTTCAAGATTGCGTGAAAAGACTGCTAATCGAATGTGGGAACACTATCATTTTAGGCACTAGGTTGTGGTAGTTTGTAGGAATACTACTACTTGTCTTTAGAAAATGCTTATCGTATTTGTATTTTATGTAGTGGTAGTGGGTTTTCTTTTTATTGTAATAGGCTGTGATTGAAACATATGCAGTTCTCTCATCTCTCTACTGGTTATCCATGTATTATTTGCACAAATCTGTACTCTCTCATCAATGTAGTGTTGATACTGCGGAAAGAGACTTCATTATGAGATTTACCTATTTGCACAACATTTTTCTCTCTCTACTGGTCTAATCCATTTTCAGCTACTTCTTGATGTTGAACATTGTTGTAGTACTGATTATGAATGAATGTTATGGCACAGATTTTACTAAGCATATAGTAGTTAAGGATGAATGCTAGTACTGGTTGGATTTTTGTCTTGTTGTCGTAATTTAGTAATAAACACAATGAATTTAAGAGAGAGATGCTTTATTTTCTTTTTACTTTTTGTAATTTATGCTGCAAGGAATTTGAGAAAGAGAGAGTATTTGATGACTTATGGCCTCACTGAGGAGTGCAAATTTAGCAATAATAGGAGTAGAGACGCGGAAGTAGTTAAGATTAACGGCCACGAAGTACAAAAAGGACCGCACTTTTGATATCTTGGGTCGATAATCTAAGAAATTGAGAGATCAAGGAAGATCTCGCACAAAGGATTAGAGCTAAGTGGGCAAAGTGGAGATGTGCAACTAGAATTTTATGTGATCGCTACATACCAATGAGGCTGAAGGGTAAGTTCTATAAGACAACGGTGAGACCAATTTTACTCTATGGAGCGAAATGTTGCGAGGACAAAAAATAATATATCCATAGAATGTGTAGCGGAGATGAGGATGTTGAAATGCATGTGTGGCAAGACAAGAAGGGGTAGAATTCGCAATGAATCTATTCGAGAGAATTTAGATGTGGCACCAATAGGTGATAAAATGAGAGAGAGTAGACTTAAGTGGGCTGGCCATGTATGGCGCCGACCAAGTACAGCACATGTTAGGAGGTGCGAATTAGTTCAAATGGAATGACTAAAAAGGACAAGGGCTAGGCTCAAAAGAGCATGGTTGGAAGTAGTCCGAAAAGATATAGGGACTTATGGCCTCATTAAAGATATGGTCATTAATAGAGCAGAATGGAGAACCAAGATTCATGTAGCCAACCCCAATTAATTGGGAAAAGTTTAAAATGATGATGATGAGAGTATTTGAGGACTTTTTGTTTAAGAGATAGAGGGAGAGACAGGGAGAGAGAGAGAGAGAGAGAGAGAGAGAGAGAATGTAGAAGTA